CTGCTCAGGTTCCTTCCGACCCTAGAAACTATGAAACTACTGAGGGGGAAAGGAGGGTTGCCTTAAATGCGAAGTTTTCTTGGATTTGGGTAATACTTCTCTGCTATAGACACTTAAAGTTATGTAAACATTAACTCACATGTTATAGATCAGAAACTAGGAATAAGAGAGGTTAAGCTTAGTCTAATCTTAAAGTGCTGTCCATCTTGAAGTACACACACAAGACCATGGGTCTTTGCCTTAAATTAAACAAGGAGATGGCTGTTAAAAGGGAGACAAGTATACAATAGAAAAAAGTCCGATTGCTATAATTGTTTCAAAATAGCCACGAACTTGAAAACACCACAGCCGATGTAACATTTGATTAGAGAGGCAGCAACTCCAGGTATTTAACATTCAGCGTGATACCCAGTAATCAATTTGGCATTCAGTGAAAATAGAGCACCAGCAGAGGCCAGGTCAGTGATGGGGTAATATGCACCAACTGAATAACAGGAAATTGAAAGGAACTTAAAATGAAAGCTGAGACCAAACTAACTATTTGTGATTTTGCTTCTATCAATCTCATAACACACGGATAGTCAGATCCAGCACTTGCTTGATCCTGTACCAAGAAGTAAAAATGCATTTATTTTCTTTCTGAATACATGTAAAGAAGATACAACACTAGAATTACTGAAGTCCTCAAATACTACTGGTTAATGTGCATATTTCAAATTATAAATGCATGCCAAATTATGAAATTTGAAAACTTAATATCATTGCAACAAATCTCTACTTACAGGAATTGAAGGAGAGTCTGTTGAATCGCTGCTGTTGCTTCTTTCTCTGCATAGCCCACTTACTACACACCATGACAGGCTTTCATCAAAAGTCAGCGAAATGCTGTCTGACTTGTGCCGTTTTCTTCTTTCACTAGGCCATTCATCCGAGGAATCATCTTCTGCATGTGTGTGATACAGGAAGTGTAGTAAGACAAAGGCATATAATGTAGTCTACCATTTGCATGCAGTTGAGTCAGTTAAAATGAAATTACTTATGAAATTCAATGTGAAAAGTCATTTAGCATTTTACAATAGGCAGGGGGAGGGAATCAAAGGAATGTAACATTTCAGAGAGAGAAGGGAATACTTCTAAAACAGAAACAATATGAAAAATGCCTGGGACAGATGTTTCTGCTGCCCCATCATTAAAACATGTAAACAGTAATTTCTACAGGCAGTAGAAATAATTCAAGAATCTTATATGCTTTCACTATTTTCAGGCACCTGTGAAAGCTCTGCATTTTATAAGTACACGGCATAACCGTACATTTTTGGATGGCAGGTTTTCTGCTATAATCCCCCATTTGTAAGAGTTAATAATTCCATGCTTAACACTCCTTTGGGGTAATGCATGATGTACAAAATATCAACCATAGGTCACTGTTTTAAACTGGACCCAGAAAAATGTTTAATTTGAAGGAAGCAAACCAATGCTTTTTGGGCGTTTCACATGTTTCAAATGCTTTCCAGTAGCATAAAGAAGGAGATGGGGAACAGCATTTGGGGACAGGGTAAATGAGTCAAAGTTCAACTCCACCGACTTCAAGAAGTGGCGCTTAAGTGTCTGTCAAAATCCCTCATAAGATCAACTGTGAAGTCAATGTGTAACTGTGGAGTGAAATTCTCAACCAGCATTGTGTAATTGGCTTAATAACCCTTCAAAAGAGCTTGCTGTCCCCTACTGGTGCCTACTGCACACACCCTCTATTACCCAGGGCTTATTTTGCACTGTAAAAAAAGTTGAAAACTCCACAGATTTCTAAAACTAGCTTCTTTAACTTTAAAAGAAAAAGAGAACAGAACACTTGTACATACTTTGTGACTCCTCTTACTTTCCCTTGGTCCTTCTTGGCTCAGTCCCTTTCTTTTCTTTTCTTGCCCTGAGAGCCCCAACATTCAAAATTAGGTGCCCCCAGGCCCAACCGTTGCTCCTGTCCATCGTTGTCCGCATTAAAGTTGTCATCTCTCCGTGATGTACTGATAGCATACCACACCACAAGGGTTCTAAACACTACAGGGAAATATCAGTGGCTCCAAAGGAGCCACTACCATCCCATTGTAACAAGTATAGTGGTTTAAGGGGAAGGTTTCCTATAAAATTAAAAAAAAAATTGTACATAAACACACTATATTAAAAGACCTTTTAAGGCTGTAACAAACTAACAAATGGATGCAAAAACAGAGTTAATGATCAAGCCTGCAATAAGTAGCACCTTATTGCGAAGCTGTGCTAAATATCACCAATCATGATCTTTAACTGTGAAATTCCATCCTTTTACTAGTTTGAATTACAACATTAAGATGTTCTTTTAATTTAGTGTGAAATGCTTATCAATGCGGTATAGTTTTAGAATAGGCTAATAAGTGCCTACAAACTAAAAAACAAACATGATACCTTAGAGATCTAGCAACCAAACAGTGTTCCTGAGCAACAGAGAAAAAAAATAAAACACCATGCAGTGATTTTAGGCTACTATTAGTCAGTTAATTACAATTATCAATAGTCAGCAGGTAAGTGATGGAAGGTAGTTTGGTGGGAAGGATTCTAAAACATTGTCAGTTATAACAAGAAGTTTGGTGGTGGTGCTCCATAAAGGTTGCAAATTATACCCAACTCCAAACATACCAGCTAGTCAGCCATTAAATATTAGATATAACATCACATTTTCAGGATGCATTTGCCGATACATGTCAAGCTGTCATGCTAGTGATGAAAGGGAACGAAGAGACTCAAAGGACCAGATTTTCAAAGTATCTGTGAAGATACTGTGAAAATGTGCCCCTTCATAACTAGATACAATAAAGCTTTTCACCTCTATGTCACTGACTTAAACTGAATACATAGCAGCTTACAAGCAACATAATTTATCTCCTGGTCGCTGCTTACAAAGTTATATGAAATGAGCATAATGGTGTCAGCCTCTGCGCAAAAAGATGTTCATATCAGGCTATAACTGCTACACAACTGGTAGTGGCATTAGAAAAAAAAAAAAAA